ATATATACAATATATGTATGCCACAACACGCAATACACACCCACACACACACACACACACAACACACACACACACACACCACACACACACATATATATTATATATATTATATATATATATGTATGTATGTATGTATGTATGTGTAATGTATGTGCACACACATAAACATACACACATTTAATGTATGTATGTATGTATGTATGTATGTATGTATGTATGTATGTATGTATGTATGTATTATGTATGTATGTGTATGTATGTATGTATATGTATGTATGTGATGTGTGTTTGTGTGTGTGAGCGTGTGTGTGTATCCTCGTCCGTACGTGCATGTGTAAATATTAACACACACACACACACACGTGTCGGTGCCAATCCACACACGTGCACACAACATCCATATATCTTTAACATAACGCTCTCGCCTCCTCGTCCCCGTTTCCCTCACCCGCCGCCCGAGCAAGGCCCGAGTGCCCGAAGGTCTCAAGCGAGGAAACCCGAGGCGGCGATCGCAAACCCGATTTAATTGATAATCATCAGAATTCTCTCGGTCGCGACGGCAGGAAGATCACGCGGCGTCGTCTGCTGATGAGACTGGGCCGTTTTCAAGGAATGATAGTGAGGAAAACAGAGAGAGGCGGGGAGAGAGAATGGGAGAAAAGAGGAGAATCAAGAGAAAAGGAAGAAGGAAAAGAAGAAACAGAGAAAGAAGAAGGGAAAAAGAAAGAAAGGGAAAGGAAAAACGGAAAGAATTCAAGTAAACAAAACTGAGAACTGTCTTTAAACGAAAGAAACAACAAAAAACGATAGGAAAAAAGAAAACATATGAACGTATAACAAACCAAACCTCTATAACTACGACGCAGATCGCCTAGACAACAAAGAAAAAAAAATAAAAAAATAAATAAACAAAAATAATTAAATAAAAACTACACATATCATTCAGTCAGTCTGGTAGATCGAAAACACTGCAGTCCATCAGCCTGTTTTTCAAACTATTTCTTTTTCCTTCCGTTTTTCCTACGACACAAAACATTCTTGGTAAGATATCAAGAAGATATTGGCAACGTGATTCGATTTCTTTCAAATCTCTGCGTGTTTGGGTTTAGTGAAGGTATGTGTGAAACGTACTCTGGTTTTTCATTGAAGGAAAAAAATGAATACGTGCAGATAAAACGTACGTACTCGAGCACACGCAGTCGAACGTGTTGGTGGGATGTTTATAAGAAATAAAATTAAGAAAATTACGAAAATATCCATCTTATATAGATTCTCCCTTTAATTCAGATCTTTTAGGCCCCGAGCCACAAATGCATGCTCACATACAGTTCTCACACACATATACATGCATACATATTCATAAACTAGATTCATCAGAAAGTGAGACAGCAGTTCCGATCATTTTTCAGATGATGATGGTGATGAAAAATTGTAATAATAAATTCTAGTTGTGTATGGTGTTTTCTACAAAAGTATCAACACGGTAGAATGTTTTGTTATGCACATCTACTCATCCATAAATGAATGAATGGATAAGTAAATATATTATCATCAATCTATATCTATTTACAAATAAGTATACATATATATATATATATATATATATATATTATATAGATAGAGAGAGATGAGAGAGAGAGAGAGAGAGAGAGAGAGAGATACATAGATGGGCACTGATAGATAGGTCAACAGACAGATACAAGAATAAACACAGACAGATATAGTAGATCGGTAAATAGATCGATGATGCAAAAACAGATACATAACCCAAGCAGATGGACCGACCAACGAACAGATAAACACACAGACGACAGACAGAAGGAACGCGACTCACCTCCTGCCCTGTCTCCTTGTTGACCGCGAGCTGCACTTTGCCGTAAGTGCCCTGGCCCAGTTTGCGAATTATGTCGAACCTGCGGAAACAGAGGAGGAAAGTTAGGCGCCGGGGCTCGAGTTATGACAAGAAGATACGTACTTGTGGGTTTTAATGCGGGGAGTGAGTGGGGAAAATACGAAAGAGAAAAAAAAAGAGTAAGAGAAAGAGGAAAATCATAAATTTGTCTGTATCCGTGGGCGAGTTTTTATAAAGATGTGTATGGTCGAGGGAAATGGGACGATGGTAATGATGATGATGATAACAACCAAAAGTAACAATGAAAAATATAGATAATGATGATTAAGATAGTGATAGAATTAACAACAATAATAATGATAATAACAATATCAGCAAATAACAAGACATAGGGGCTCTCCCAACATATAAAGACTATAAAAATCGGAAAAAAACAAAAGCAATTAAGTTTCAAAAATATCTACCCTCTTTTCCCGCTTAATAATACTCTAGATTCATCGCAATCTCCTGGCAATCTATATAACGAGTGCACATTTGGAGTGCGTAAAGAAACCAGGTCTCCCTATGCATGATTCAGCCAGTTTTCATGTCGGCTGCGCAGGTAAACAAAGGCGCCAGGCACTTCGATATAATGCGCCGGAGACTCTC